GTATGTATGTATGTATGTATGTATGTATGTATGTATGTATGTATGTATGTATGTATGTATGTATGTATGTATGTATGTATGTATGTATTTCATGCACGTCTGAGGCCAGACTATGTGCCAAACAAATCATGGTACAATATTCTATATAAAAAAATAAAACGTTCCATGACTTGCATGTGGGTGGAATAGTGCCAGGTTGCCCAGACCAAGGCAAGTGAACTTACTTGAGGAAGTCACAACAGGTGCCTTCGGCTAGCCAAAGCCTGACCCGCAAGGTAGCGGGGCGGTGTGAAAACTTCAATCCATTAGGAGCCGATGTCCAGTTCATCGAATCAAACGCCCCTTGGTGTCCAAGGTGCCCAATACACCTTGGTGTCCAGTCGAGCCGGTGACCACTGCCATAACCGGGAAGGTGTGGGTTGTTCCACGCCTCCTTTCGGTTGGTTTGGACTCAGGGTTTTAGCTAACTCCCCTAGATGAACTACCAGTGGTCTGCCAACCTGAACACAACCCCGGATATATATAAAGAGAAGAAGTCCTATTCGCAGAGGGTTTTGATATCAAAAGAGGAGATAATGAAGATCGACGTGATAATTCTCAACATCTATTATTGGGTTTTAGGAATATAAGGGATTAAAATGTGCCGCCTAACTGCGTATAAAGATCCCATCGATCTTTTTCATCAGAATTGTTAGCATACTGCTTACCTTTTTGATAAAGTAACATTCTAAGGGGAAATGAGCCGGACAGTACGCAGCACCTATAAATGCATCCAACCCTACTCCCTATGCGCACTGGAAGTAAGTGTCATTCATACAGGAAGAATGTCGTTTTGTGCACTGGATGGATAATAGGTCGGGGTTTTCTATCCATGCGAACACTCGTTAGGCCTTCTTACCACCCCGTGACAAATTTACACCCCTTAGATGTTTTTGTTACCTCCGCTTCTGCGTGCACGATCAGCATATTTGAGAATCTTGGAGGCAATCAAATCAAAAACCTAAAATACGAAATTCCATCAAAGCATCTTTATTTTCAACCAAAATATGTTGCAAAAAATCATTTCCATCCGGACAACGGCATTGCATCCCCCATATACTTCCCACACCAAACACGGTTTTGAAACGGGTGCTATAGATGTCACGGGTTTCTACTTCGGCATGACAACTGACAATCGTGTTGAGTCAGTGGTTGACGGATTGTTATTAGTTACGGTCCTGTGAGGCCCAGATAACAGTAGCAAATGCACATGTCATTGCCAATAACTTTGAAGAAACAAAGACCTCCATGAAGGTCACCATAAAACTCTGCCAACAATGACACTAAAGCAGAGGTAAACTAATAGAAAGAAACCCAGAAGTGATGCCTTTAGTGATAATTATGTAAGCATACATTAAATAGCTTAACGGTATCATAGGTTCTGATCGCACTTTAGCCCAATATTTGAAGTGAACATGGTTAACAACCAAACATAAATGGATTAGTTGCCAGAAAAAGCTCTCGGGTAAATGTAATGGCAGATTGCTACGTATAGCTTCAAACTCCGCGAGTCGAGCATCGGTGAAAATTAAATACGGAGTTTGAGGTAACATTTTCCGTTCGAATGGTACAACAAATACATGAAACGGTCTCTAAGATAAAATTAAAGAAAATGAAAGGACGCATAGCTACAGCAAATTAATCAACAGAAAGACTTTTATTATGATCTGAAACTTACTAACTTGTAAAAGCGTATGGAATGTTTTCTACTTTTATTCAATTTAAACGGACCTAAAAGGTGTAACTACTGTTAATATGATCTGTGGATAGAAGAGCGGTACCTCAGTAAACAGATGAACGATCGAAACTCCGTGGTGATGCCTTATCCAACAACGGCCAAACCGAGCTCACTTTAATTCGCGTGGGGGGGGGGGGGGGGG